GGAGGGGGGAGGGAAAGGGCAAAAAAATGGGGGAGGGAGAGAAGGGAGAAAAGTATTCAAGAAGCACATAGTGAGGTCCGTCAGTCTTGCTACCTGTTTTTCACTGTATCTTCTATAAACTCTTGTGTAAGAACCAACGGCCAGATTTTAAGAGTATTTCAAAGATGTAGTTAGGACCACCATAGCCATTTTCAAAAATGCCCGTACATACTACAGGCAGATTTATTTTCATCTTTGGGTGCTTAAAATACTTTTGGGAATCTTAAGGTTCCCAAATTCTAAAGCGCTCCTCAGCTTCCAGCTGAGAGCCAGCTAGGCTTCATACTTCCCAGGCAGTTGTGTGTACTTTGAAGGTATTAAATAGTAAACATCTGGATATTACAGAACTGCAGTGTCCCTCGAATATGTTTGTAATGACAACAGGTTTGTAGGTGTTAAACTTGGTATTTATCTGAGGAGCCCTAAAATCAAATGACTTGTTTTTACCTTTGCTTTCCTAATTGTTAGCCTCAAATAAAAACAAAAAATTGATCTATATTAGATTTTTTACACTTAATCACACCTTAGAAACTTAATTTGCCTGTAATCCTTGCTATGATGTCCGGTGACATAACAAGCAACTTAAATGAAGATTTAAGCAAGTCAATTAGTCTTTTAATTAAGTCTATAAAATTCAGGTCTTACTCTCTCAGAATGCTTTACCCTATTTTTATCCTAATGAACCAGAAAAGCCTGCTTTTAGCAGTGGTTCAGCCTGTTCTGTCTTCATTATACTCTGGAAATATGAGTTTTCTAAGCTGTCTGGTGGTTTTGCTTTGAGGTTTTCTCCTCCCTTTTGCAAGAGCAGGAAAAGACTGCAGGTTTTGGAATTGTTTGTAGTAGGTCATTCCAGCATTGATCCAGTATATAAGTCAACAGAAGGTCCAATCTTGTTTCTATAAAAGGAACAATATCCCATGGTTTCCTGAATCAGGATGGGACCAGGAATGTCCTGATTCTTTTAAAAACTGTAGTAGGCTCAGGTAATTTTGGAGGACAGACTGAATATGATAAAAGCAAGGAATATTAGAGCAGAACCTGATACCAACTCTGCCCTGAGAAATGCTGTGGAAAGCAGCTTCTGTTGTTTCAGATGGAAGTTGATGGTTTTGCTTTTATGTTCCAGAACTGCTACTGTGGGTATGTCTGTCTGTGATTTGTGTTAACCATAAATGTAATACGCTATTTCTGTGGGCTTTGGTTTGTACAGGAGCTATGTGGAGCTACTTCTGTTTTTTAAGGTTTTAATTTAAATTAAGTAACTCCTGAAGTAAGGACGATTGAAGCAACAGACCTGTTGTTTTGTAGGCTCTCTCTGAAACTGTTATTCATCCCATTAATTTTAAGGTGACTTCTTATGACATATTAATTTGCTGTAAGTGTGATTTTTATAAACACCAGCAGCTTCTTAGGCATGGTTATAGCCTTCTTGTAACTGCGTGTTTTGGTAAGTGTTATCTTTTGTGCATACACAGTACAAATACTTCTGGAAGTTGCTGGTGCCTATTTCCAGGAATGAACTACAAGTAAATCATGTTATAGATTAAGTACTTGATGATTTCTGTACTCAGACCAGTGCTACTGAAATGTACCTGTGTGATAAGTGTTTTAATCTTCTTGTCTATATCTTGGTGTGGAGAGAGCTGATCATCCTGATCAATGAAATCTTCGTATAACATTTTTTGCAGTAGCTTTGAAATTCTAGATTAAATGCTCCTAATAAATGTGCTGACTGAGGCTTATGGATGCTGTAATAAAATATGTTAGGGGAAGACATCAAGTCTTA